TCGCAGACCCTGACTGGCTAGTCTGCATCGTTTGATACGGCTCAAACCAACAGTCAAAGACTCCATACATTGATGCCATACTTTAGTGTGGCCACCTCGAGCCTTTTTCCAGTCAGAACTTACTTCGGTCAACATTGTGTGATGAGGCAGACGGCGACTAGGCATACATAACACATGTCAGAGCCAACCATCTCAGTCGATGAAAGTTCGCAACGACATCAACTGACTTACCTCTTCTCCCTAAACCTCTACGCCTGATTTCTGTGTTACTCACATAGTGACACCACGGAATACGGTTTATACTACGAAGACAATGGTGGTCAAACACCTGAAGCCTTCTCATGTCGAGGAAAATAATATGATTATTTACTTAGATGTCTCATTAGTGAAAAGAATTGACGGATCTATCGAAAGGTCCATCTAAAGTAAACCTTCATGGACAGGGCAACACCTTCATTTTAGGAGCTTTGTCCCGATCCAATACAAGTGAATGTATTCAGAACGCTGTTCAACAGAGCCAGGAAAATTTGTCTTGACAGCAAGCAGTGATGACTTTGGAAAATATGCTAGTGAAGAATGGGTACCTTTATCAACAAACATTCAAAATGGTTACGAAACAAAACAATGTCCCTAACAGTGCAGAAGAAACCAGTCTATATCACCTGGCCATTCAAAGGTGACAGTGTGTTAAAAGTATTTAGACGAAGACTGGAGATGTCCGTCAAATGACTTATCACACTGCTAAACTCGTTCTCATCACCACCCCCAGAAGGGTACTGCAACAATCAGGAAAAACTGGGCTTCTATCCTCGTCACATCTAATGGTATGCATCAGTTCGAATGTACCTGTGGAAGCAAATACATTGGTCATATGGAGAGGTATCTGTCTACCCGAATGGTTGAGCATCTGCCGAAGTGGTTAAAGCATGCCAAGAAGAAGACCCCATGGAGCTCGATAACGCAACATCTAGTGGATTATGGGCATGATATTGATACCTGTAAGTCCTTTACGGTTATCAGCAGACAGCAAAATAAGAAATTGATTGGAATTGTAGAAGCCCGTGCGATTCGTGTTGTCAACCAAACCTCCGCATTCAGAAGGAAATGTAGTTAGCCTGAATCTGCTAAGGTTGGAAGTAAAACGTCGTCTAGACATATTTCATCTTTCTTACCTCCTCTTTGCGTTTAACTATCACCCATCTGATACTTATTTGGCCTAATTAACCTTAGTTCTATTAACGCTGTTATCATTATTAATCATCAGAATATACACCTGGTTTTGTTATTATGTCTACATAAGTACTGTTAACGATCTTGTTTTGAATGGCGTAATCTACGCTTAATCGATTCAGTTCCCGTTGCTTGCTGTGACTGGAGTTCCCCAAAGAGCCATCCTTTGTGGATGTCTTTCTCATTCTTTCTGCATGACCCAACATCTTCAAGTGGTATCGATTTAATTAAATATGCTAGTGACCTACTAGTTTCCACACCTATCTCCTCTTCAATAGATTATTCTCAACTGAATGATTTCCTATCTACTGTTGGACGATGCTCCTGCTTGAATGGTCTTATGCTTAATTCTTCAAAATGTCAGACCATAAACCTTAATTTTAGACATGAACATAACCTACATAAACTGCTTATTTCTCATGATTTATGTTCTATTGGTAGTTGCGCATTAGAGAATGTTACAAGTGTGATTTCTCTTGGTGTGTGTCTTTCTTCGGACCTTTTCTGGTCTTCCCATATCTCACAAATTTCCAAAAACGTTTCCACCTAACTTTCTACATTAGGAAACTGAAAGTATCTGGTATTACGCAGCCTCTCCCCTTGTGTTTCATAAACTTCTACGTCTTGACTGTTTTCCTTTATTTTTTCCTCGGTTGATGATAAAAGACTATGCTATATTGCGTAGAAATTTGAAGATTGTCAGCAGAACTAGTAACCTCGCCTGGTTAACTGGTTCACTAGTTACTAGCCACTCCTAACCCCAGATAAACAGGGAAGTTTTGGCACACGGCTAGCAACCCTAACCCGGAAAAGCAATCTAACCACTCAAAAAACTTCAAAGCACAAACAAAATATCAAAAGTAAAAGCAAACTTATTCCTCACTGGAATGTGAGAGAAGAAATGCCGCCGGTTGATGAAAGCCTTCGCGAAGCCAATTGGCGGATGTCTTCTCTCTCTCGATGGAAGCGAAAGTAAGATTGGGGACATAGAATGTCCGCACCATGTTTAAACCTACCACGGCTGCCTAGATTGCTGGAGAGATGAGAAGATATGTCATAGAAGTGCTTGGAATCCGCGAAAGAAGAAGCTGTGGAAGTGGACTCTCCAGACTGTCAACTGGACAGTCAATAATCTACTCCCATAGTGTCGCCCAGATAACAACCACCAGCACACTGAGTTTCGGAGTGCTTATTATGAAGTCCCCTTCAAAAGCATCAAGGGCTCTCATACAGTGGAAACCAATCTCCTCCAGGACAGGCGTCATGACAGCAAGATTCAAATCAAAAGGAAAGAAGGTGACAATCATACAATTCTACGCTACACTACGCACCTACAAGTAATACAGGCGAAGAGAAGAAGGAGCAGTTCAATAGGCAACTGCAATAAGTACAGGACAAGACCCCACCTCAGTTGGCGACATCAAATTTATTCTAATAGGTGGGGTGACGTGAACACCAAACTGTAAGTAGACAACACAAAAAGAGAATTTATCATGGGTCAAGAACCACTCGGTGAAATGAATGAGAATGGAGAACTGTTTGCAGATTCCTATGGACTCAACGATTTGGTGATTGGAGGGAGTGTGTGCGAACACAGAGATATTCACAAAGTGATACGGATTTGATTTCACCGGATGGATACACTACACCGAAAATCAGATCGACTTCATCTCAATGTGATGAAAGTGGAGGTGCAGCCTACTGGACACAAGATCAGATCAAGAAGGTGAGCAGATGTAGGTTCACATCACTCACTATCTGGTGCAAGAGACCTTCAAAACCAAGTTAAAAGGCTTCAAAGTAGCTCGTGACAGACCACAGTTCAATGTCAACACCCAGAACACAAACTGATGCACGAAACTTCAAAGGAAATCTTCACGTAAGCTATCAGGACAAAATAGGAGACATTGAGCAACATACCTGTGGAGACCTGCGTGGAAGAACACTGGAACTCTTTGAAAAAGACGTGGAAGGAAACCTGCAAAACAGTATTAGGAAGGAAGAAAAAACAGGACAAGGAATGGATCTTGACAGACACGTGGAAACTGATAAAGCAGGGAGACGAAGATGGTGAAGCAGAAGATGAACCAGTGCAGTGCAAGGATGAACAACGAAAAGAGGAACTGAGTACAACCTATAAAACACTGCACTGGGCAAAGAAGTGAAGAAGAGTGCACGGAAAGGCGAAAGACACTTCTACGAAACACTGGCAAGCGAAACAGATCAGGCTGCAGGTAAGAAAGACCTGACAACATTGTATCAAATAACCAGGTTGCTATCTGGGAGGAGATCAACGCAGACGAAACCAATAAAAGGTAGTGAAGGAAACTTAGTCACCACCAACGAGAAGAGACAAGATAAACAATGGGCTGACCACTTCAGAAAACTCTCGAATCGGCCACCACCACCTGCAACTCGTCCAGAAATACCACCAGCATCCCCGCAACAGGAATATCAGTGAACACAAACACTCTGACAAAAGCAGGAGTAAAGTCCTGAACGTCATGAAGTTGGTTAAATCCAGGAAAGCTGCAGGACCGGAAGACAGTCTGACAGATAAGACAAGGTCACCTACTATCACCGATTATCTTCCTGATTGTGATCGACTGGATTATGCAGCAAACCGTGAGGAGCAGCGAGAAGACGGACATATGCTGGACCGATTAAGAGATTTGGATCTCGCCAATGATGTATATCTAATGTTGCAGAAGCTTGAAGATGTGCATGCAAAAACCAACAAGTTGACAGAAGAGGTAGGGCAGAGAAGACGGGACGTCAAGTGAACGTGGAGAAGACAGAGGTGATGAAGATACCCAACCAACAATAACAACAACAAGCACCAACCACCATGAACGGGAGAAACCTGAATGAAGCAGTCTGTTTCACTTACCCTTTATTTTTCCTGGGTTGCTGAAAAAATACTATGCTGTAGAGCGTAGAGCTTGATGCTACATGACATGCTAAAAATTCTGTAGAGTATTCCGGAAAAAGCTTTCAGAACAAAGGCGTTATTACTATTATTCTAACCCCTATAGTCAATTTTATTATCATTACTATTATTATGAATATATTCCTACCTGAAACTCACAATTATCTAAACTCATAGCTATTAGTTGGTTGGAGGTAATCTCCAGGAAGCCCTGGACCTAGGGTTTCATGCTTTTTGCCACTAGTCAACAAGGCGTATCTGCAACCACGATGGAACTGATGTCCCGCCTGAGATTTGAACGCACATCACCCAGTGTTATAGTCAGCGACTTTACCACTTAGCTATTCGGGCCACGACTGACCTCCTGTAGGACTGGATTACATGTATTGATTCGTCACGTGAGTGCAGCTCATAGTTAATCATGTATCCTACCCCCCCCCCCCCAACTCATTCAATTTGAACATCCATTTCTATCCTTTGCATTGCCACCTGACCTGTAAAGCCTCTTCACTTCCATGTTGTTACACTTAAATCTGTCTCGGTCTGTTTTATATATATCTGTGTATGTATGGTGTTTTGCATTGTTTAAAGGTATATATAATCAAGTATGTAAAGTATACAGATGACGTTTACTACTGAAACTACTACTGAATTCATTAGATCCTGCTTTTTTCATATATTCCTTACTTGTTTTGATTTGTATCATATCATAAAATCTACCAAGATAACCCATGGATGTACAAGTTCAGAAAGATACAAATTTCATACTTTATTCATTACTCTTCAGAGTTAATATTAAAAGTAACCAACATTTTGTATAAACTAACCCTTGTTAACTTACCTTGTTTACCAACAGTAATATTCTTGATTTCACTTTCCCCACTACCGATAAATAACTCAAAAACTAGTAGATCCAAGTGTTATTAAATATAACTAAATAGAAGAATACTTTCATGATGCTATTTTTCTAATATACTCCATGTAATGATATTTTTTTTTATAATAAAATATATATAAAATAAAAAAACATTAACTACACAAAACAATTGTGAGAGAGACTACGTTTCTATCACGAATGACAGTAACTATACGAGTCAGCCTTTTAACCAATCAAATTCAAACTGATCTGTTATTGGTTGAATTTTATTAATGTGACTAAAAATCAATAATCGAAGTATTTAAATATTTAAAATATGTGTAACAATTTTTCAATAATTAGAAATACCAAAACTTAACTATTATCGACTTCACTGGTTAATCTATATTAAACATAAGTATATTTTGTAGTTGTAATTACCTATGTTTGTAAGTGTTACAGTGTATGCAACCATTTATCAAAAGTACTTCATCATTTACCTTAGAAAAAAAAATTAGAATTTATTTATACCATTTAATGCATAACTGTCTAGTTTATCGAAATAATTAATGTGGTATATTTTAAAGTTGAATTTCATTTACTTAACAGATAAACAGCTGATATTGGTTTAGATAGATCAAAGGCGTTTTTATCAATGATTATGTTATGATAAGGCTTACACTATCTTCACTTAACAAAGTAATGATATCAGTATTAACATTATTTAGGTTGTCCATGTTTTCTCAAATGTAACCTTAATTTTCCTGGATCCTAGTTATCCATTGTCACTTAGAAGTATTGAATTAAAAGATGAAACACTCTAGTAAATGAACGATACTTAGTTCAAGCAGAAGATCATAGAATTATTATTACTTGTTATTTATGCCATGGGTTCCTAGTGCAGTACAGGGCTTCAGTAGCACAGTGCTATTTCAGTCTTTTCAACTTGGCTCCACGACTGCTCATAAGCCTCTATTTCTTCCTCACACCATCTCTTCCATGTCACATTCGGCCGCCCAACTCGTCCATTCCCACTTTGGTTTCACTAGACGACCTACCCTGGTGCATGATGTGCCCAGTTGGTCTTCTCAGTCTATGTCCAGTACAATGCAATCCATCTCTACTCTCTTCTACAGCATATTTTTTGGACGATAGCTTCTCGTTTCGTTGATTCGTTGCCAGAGTTGCTTGTTGCTTAATCTTTCTCGCCTTCTCATCTCATCGTCAATATGGAGTGAGTGTAGGTGGCAGCTGTTCATGTATGTCTGCAGATTGTTGGAAATGCTTTACGTAACTCATCAAGCCTATCAGACATCATATGAGTTGACTGACATTAGTGTTGAAAACCCGGGTCTTGTTTTTTATGCTGAGTGCATTGCAGCACAGTGCATTTCAAGCTAATGAAAGAAGGTCTGTCTTGGTGTCCTTCCGATGCTGGCTTTCACAACCTTATCTGTGCCTGTGCTGTCAGTAGTTCAAACGACGCTGCCTAGATAGGTAGGTGAAAGAGCCAATTTCCTCGTTGTTGTTGTTGTTGTTGGTTGGGTATCTTCATCACCTCTGTCTTCTCTACGTTCACCTGAGGGAAGTTCCGTCTTCGCTACGTTGCCTGTTCTGCCAACCTGTTAGTTTTCGCCTGTACATCCGGGTTTCTCCGACATTAGACATTAGACATAAATCATCATTGGCGAAATCCAAATCTTCTAGGGTCTTCTCATCTGTTAAATAGCGTATGCCGATGCTCTCGCTCCCTACAGTTTGATGAATGATCCAGTCGACCACAATCAGGAAGATCGTCGGTGGTATTAGCCAATCTTGTCTTACCTGTCAACATGTCCTCACTTCAAAGACATCACTGAGCTTTTCATTGTTTATCACTTGGCATATAGTGTCGTCATATAGCATACAGGTAGCTGTTGAATGTGGTTTATAAAGGTTTGTGGCTCTCCGGAAGACCTCAGAATAGTAACCAATGTTAGCTAAAAGTTTTAAAATTGTCCAGTTCTATGAAAATTTACCAAATTTCCTTGAAGTGCTAATGATAAGAAAAGAAGAGGGCTCTATACAGAAAGCCGATGTTAAAGGTGCAGTATAGAGACATTCTCAGCTTCGTACTGATGAAGTAGAAAACCTAATATGTATTCAAGTGCCTAGCATTTAGAGTAAAACTGGTTGATTTCAAGAAGTGCATGGAAAAGCAGATAATATGTATCTATGGTATTGGAAATAAAAACGTATATCTTGAAAAGTTCATCAACATCACTAACATCCCCTAAAGTGATCCTAAACGCGAATCGATGCAGGTCATTTGTGTATATCTTTCACTAGTCAACCAATATTCAATCCTGGGGGCTAAAGTATAGCCTATCTAATCTTAACTGATGTTGCACATATCAGTTTAACTGTTCCTGTGGAACACGTTACATAAGATGAATGATTAGTTGAGTACGTCTCCGGATACGAGAACATTTATCAGCCTAGTTTTGAAAAAGGTGAAGTGAAAGTGGTGAAAATTCTGTCTTAGCTCATCTGATAAACTCAAGATATTACACAGATGCTGATAGAGCTTCTAAAAGGCATTCTTGTCTTTACTTTTACGGTTACACGCTTCGTCGATATGTATATATCATCTTGATATTGATAAACTCAAAAAAGAAAAACTAGGTTCCTAGCTGTAACGTTGTATTCACCTCAAATTTAGCTTGTTAATATATTGTATAAACGCGTTATAATTGTAGAACCTTATAACAAGCTATTGAAAAGAATATTCTTCGTCCAGATTATATCTATTTAAGGTTATTTTTTCCCTTAGGTTCCTAGCGTAACATAGCGCTTCAGTAGCACGATTCCATTGCACTCTGTTCTTCGCAATCTCCTGAAATGGGCTCCACATCTGCCCATAAGCTCTCATCTCTTCCTCACACGATCTACTACATGTCAATCTCAGCTAGGATGCCCAACTCGTCGTTTCCCATCTGGGCTCCTGCCGACGGCCTGACTGGAGTGTTATATCCCCGATTGGCCTTCTCAATGTATGCTCAATCCATCTCCACTCCCTTCTTCTGCATATCTGTTGAGTCATAAGTTGTTGGTTGGTTAGTTGCCAGAGTTTCTTGTTGCTTATTCTGTGTGACCATTTGATCTGATCCTCAGTATCAAGTGAGCGTAGGCAGTTGCTGTTGATGAATGTCTATAGTTTGTTGAAAATGCTTTTCGTAAGGCGCCAAGTCTCTCAACCATCACATAGAAGCACTGAATTGACTGGATTAGTGTTGAAAGTCCGGATCTTGTTCTCGCTTTATGCTGAATGCAGTGGAGTGGATCTCTACACTGTTTTCAGATAAATGAAGGCGTGTCATGCTGTCTTTCCGATTCTGGTTGGATTTGATATCCTCATCTGTGCCTGTAGTTGAAACGATGCTGCCTAGATAGGTGAAAGAGACTACTCCTTTAAGTCCATTAATGGTGAGTTTACTGATCTCCGTACTTTGCTTTCCAGTACTTGTTATCACGGTACTCTCCAAAGTAAACTTTATTATATACGAAGATCGTTCTGAATCTGATTTCCTTTGTTTATCAAAGATTGAAGAAAAGGGAGAAGATGAGATTGAGAACTTCATGTCACTCGTTAATAACTGATTACTTTTGAAACTATATGAAATAGGAAATTATAACTACAGGTATTCATCACTATGAAATCTGTCCACCAAAAAAGTTTCAATCATGTATGTTTTTTGGTGTATTCATAATTTTTTAAACGAAACATCATCTATGTTTCTGATTTTCTAAACAAGCTGAAATAATGATAAAATTCACTTAGATTATGATCTCCTGTGTACATCTGAACATTAAGTAGTTTGTACTTTAAGCACCGGCCACCATTATGGGAGAAACTTAAAGGAAGTAGTCTCTTTCACCTATCTAGGCAGCATCGTTTCAACTACAGGCACAGATGAGGATATCAAATCCAACCAGAATCGGAAAGACAGCATGACACGCCTTCATTTATCTGAAAACAGTGTAGAGATCCACTCCACTGCATTCAGCATAAAGCGAGAACAAGATCCGGACTTTCAACACCAATCCAGTCAATTCAGTGCTTCTATGTGATGGTTGAGAGACTTGGCGCCTTACAAAAAGCATTTTCAACAAACTATAGACATTCATCAACAGCAACTGCCTACGCTCACTTGATACTGAGGATCAGATCAAATGGTCACACAGAATAAGCAACAAGAAACTCTGGCAACTAACCAACCAACAACTTATGACTCAACAGATATGCAGAAGAAGGGAGGGAGATGGATTGAGCATACATTGAGAAGGCCAATCGGGATATAACACTCCAGGTCAGGCCGTCGGCAGGAACCCAGATGGGAAACGACGAGTTGGGCATCCTAGCTGAGATTGACATGTAGTAGATCGTGTGAGGAAGAGATGAGAGCTTATGGGCAGATGTGGAGCCCATTTCAGGAGATTGCAAAGAACAGAGTGCAATGGAGACGTGACAGACCATACAGTTTTTCGCCCTCATGAATTCGAATAACGTAAGAAGAACAACGTAACAGGCTATTCTTTATACATTTCGTGGGTCCTCCTCAGCTGTTATACAACCTATGGGATATGATTTTTCTGATAGATAGACAAGGGAATAAAGTACCAGACTGATTCTTAGTGGAGATAATTCAAAGTTGACCAGTTCTCAACTAATGTTACCTCCAACTGTATCCACCAGTTCGCATGTACATGCCAATGCATATAAATTGGTAAAAGGAGAGAAGAGCTTGTCGTAATCGTCCAAGGTGATCAGTAAACAACTGTGACTCAAGATTTACACTTTTCTGAAGCAATTGAAATTAAAAGACCCAAATATGATCTATATATTCAGAAAGATACTAATGTCAATCTTGCTTTACCTTGACAATTTTATTCTCCTTAATAGAAATTAATAGAAATTCCATAACCTCATGGTACTCTGTTGTTTTGTTTTCTTTTCAAAACTTACTGTCACTTTCGAAGTTATGTTCATCTTATTACTTAATAATGAAGACTAGTTGAACTTCTGTTACGTTTACGTAACTATGATATCACATATACCAACTCTAGGATGACATGTGTACAACTCTTTCT